CACTTCTCCTTATCCCCCCTTCACCCAGGAAGCTGAAAAATTTGACAGAGAAAGAGAAAATTGTGTGACACTAGCCCAGATCTGAATATTTTGGGTGAGTAGAGAAAGGGGCTGAGAAAACATGAGAAATCACCTAGCATACCCTCCTCATTATAGATGAGATCACTAACGTGCCTGCTGTGTGCCAGAATAGTAAGTACTAGGGATACAAAGAAAGAAAAAAATATGGACCCTGTTCTCAAGGAGCTCAAATTCTAACGGAGGAGTGTTCAGGGAAATGCTTCCTAGAAATCTCCCTATATAATCTGTGGAAGCTGTTTGGCAAAAATAAAGCGGAAAGAACACAATTTGAAATCAGATCACCTAAATTAGAACCCCAGTTATAATACTTACTAGCTATGAAACTGTGGACAAGTAATTCAGAGTTTCAGTTTCCAAAATGGAAATAATGATTTTGTCACTACTTATCCTACAAGGTTGTTATGAAGAAAGCAACTTGTGAACAATAAGTGTGAACAGTTAGGTGCTGTATTATTACTTTGTGTTATTATTTTTTATGCAGCATATAACTCTTCAAGAAAATCTTTAATTCAATTTTATACTTAAGGTACCTAAAAGGTATATACAACCATGATTGTATTTCTGTAATTACGACATCAATAGCTACTTAGTTGGCAACCAGTTAATGAATTTATTAGGTACATTTCTTCATTAAAGATTGTCTGTTAAGGCATGGAGAGATTGTGGTGTAGAGGAGGACCTACAGGAAAGAAGTCATTTATCTTCTCTAGTGCATGTGCCCTAAAGACAGGCAGAAAAAAAAAAAGATGTTTTGCCAAAGACAATAAGATAGCTGAATTAAATGCTGGATAAATATTTTCTTATCTATAAAATATAAGGATGGAATTATAATCAAGGGTTCTTAGTGTGTGTGTGTGTGTGTGTGTGTGTGTGCATGTGTGTGTGTGTGTGTATGTGCGGACTCACACGCATGCATAATTATGGTAAACATGTGCCCCTTGGGGAGTCTGGTGAAGTCTACAGACACCTTCTCTGAATATTTTTTTTAAATTTGTTAATTGAAAGAAAGGCTAAATTTCAGTTAGAGATTGGTGAAAATAAATACATATATTTTTCTTGATCCAAGTTCACAGACCTCCCGAAACCAATCCATGGACCCTCTTAGATTAAGAACCCCTGCACTAAAATGATTTTTAAGATTTCATCCATAATTGAATCACTTGCCAAATCTTGTTATTTTTAACTCCACATCATCTCTTGTATTCATTCCTTCTCTCCACTTACATAGTCACTATCCTAATTCATAACTTCATCACCTTTATTTGAAGTATTGAAATACCCTCCCAATTGGTCTCCCTGCCTCATTTTTCTGCACTCCAATTCATTCTCCACACAGATGCCAAACTGGTTTTCCTAAAATGAAAGTTGATCATGTCTCTCTCCTACTAAATGAACTGCTATGTATCCCTATTACCAGTAGAAGTAGAAATATACTCCCTTGGCATTAAAGCCCTTCATAGCCTAACTCCTTCTTACCTTTCCTTAATACACATTACTTTGCTTCACATACACTACAGTCCAGCCAACCTGACTTTACCATTTCTCTCACATGGTACTACTTCATGTTTTTGACTGGCTATTTACCTTTCCTGAAATGCACTGTCCCTCACTACCTCTGCCTCTTAGAACCCCTGATTTTGTTCAAGGCTTAGTTCAAGTGCTACCTCCTACATGAAGCCTGTCTTGATTTTTCCAGCTGCTGATGCCTTCCTCACAAATGATCTTGTATCTGTCTTATTTATGCATATATAGTACGTGTTATCCACCCAGCTAGATTGTAAGTTCTTTAATGTCAAGGATGGTTTATTGTTGTCTTTTTTCCTCTCCCCATTGCCTTACACATAGTAGATGCTTAACAAGTCGTTATTGATTGTTTGTAGAAATCAGTACCAAGGAAAGTCATTATGAACACTATACTGAACTTCTGTAGATCCTTTGGTTCATTCAATCATATGTAATTGGGATATTGCTCCAGGTTTGGGTTAAATCCCTTTTGTTGTTGTTCAATCATTTTTTGGTCATGTCCAACTTTTCATGACCCCTTTTTTTTTGGGGGGGGGACAGTTCTTGGCAAAGATGCTAGAGTGGTTTGTCATTTCTTTCTCCAGCTCATTTTACAGATGAAGAAACTGAGGCAAAGTTAAGTGACTTGCCCAGGGTCACATAGTAAGGTCTGAGACTGGATTTGAACTCAGGTGTTCTTGACTCCAGGTCTGGCACTCTATTCAGTGTGCTACCTAGCTGCCCCATGAACAATCCCTACATGAAAGTTTTTCTTAGTGAGGCACTATAGTCAAGCAGAAAAAGTCTATAGACTTTCCAGGATTTATGCTCCTTTGCTACAGCTTTCAAGAATCCAGAGTCTAAGATAAGGACTTTTAGCAGGACCTCACTAGTAAGTCAACTCCCCTCTTCTCCACACACACACCCCAACTTTACTAGGTCTGTGACTTTGGACAAATATGCAAGCTCAAGTTTCTTCATACAGATGAAAATGGAAATAATACAAATGTACAAAGTTGTTATAAGGAAAATGCCTTGAAAACCTTAAATATGAATTATTATCCTTTGTCCTTTTAGTCCTGACCAGCATCCACTTGGATTGGATCTTTTTTCACCTTTGTATTGAATAGAGATTTCAAATCCAGCCTCAGACACCTACTAGCTTTGAAATCCTGGGCAAGTAACTTAACCCCTTTCAGTCTCAGTTTCCTCATCCATAAAGTAGGGATTATAATAGCACTACCTCCCAGGGTTTTTGTAGAGATCAAATGAGATGATATTTGTAAGAGCCTGGTAAATCTTAAGTGCTATAAAAATGCTTAGCTATTATTATCAACTTCTGTGATTTCATACCTAATCACAGCATACCAAAGGGTGGTCAAGAGTCTAAGAGTGGATTGTCACAGCCTTGAATGAGAGAAAATACAACTGCTTGGGCATTGAAGCAGTATCATTCTCCCATGTCTCCACATACCAAAAAAAAAAAATGTCCTAAATTTAAGAAATACCGAATAAAATAAGCATTAACATATACAAAGTAGAGTAAATGAGAATTATACATGAAATAATGAATGTCCATTACATATTGCCTGCTTTTCCTTTTAAACAAAGAATTCAATATGTTTTTCAAACCTGTTCTGCTTATCTGTGCTTCTTTTTAAACTTTTGCAAATTAAAAAAAAAGTTTCAATGACTGTTTTTTTTCCTTTTCTTCTTTCTTTGACAATATTATTGTTAACCTCCATTTCTTTCTACCTTTTCTCCCTCCTCCAATTAAAATAAAAACGTAAAACAAAACCAACACAACAAATGTGCATAATCAAGCAAAACCAATCTTCTTGGTTAGGAGGTGGGTAATATGCTTCATCAATGGTCCTCTGGAGTTGTGTTTGTTTCATTAATCAAATTTGTTATGTATTTCAAAGTTGTTTTTCTTTACAATCCTTTTGTTATTGTATAAATAGTTTTCCTGGTTCTGTTCACTTCATTCCGCATCAGTTCATACAACTTTCCCAGGATTTTCTGAAACTATCCCTTTCATTATTTCTTATAGTCCAATAACATTCCATTACATTTTTATACCACAACTTGTGTTAAATCATTTCCCTAATAGATGGGCACATCTTTAGTTTCCAGTTGTTTTTTTTTTTTAAATTATGACAAATAGAGTCCCTATATATATTTTTGTATACATAAGTCTTCTTGATCTCTTTGGGGTATAGGCAGGGTTATGCTAGTAAATGTTTAACAACATGAAAAAATATATACATGATACACTTTAACATTTAATCTGCATTAACATCTTCTCCAACACTTTCTTAAGACTAAACCAAGAAAACCATAAATCAAACTCTGATTTGTGGTGTTTGCTGATTTCCAAAGGTATAAATGCTTACACTTATAGCCCTCATAGTGGTAAAAAGGTATTTTCCTTAAGTGCAGGTCTGACAGTGTCGCTCCTCTACTCAATAAAGTGGCTCCCTACTGACTCTGGGATCAAATATTATTTTCTCTTTATCTCATTGTATAAGTTTTATGAAGTGTATAATTATCAGTACAATACTAAATGTATATGCTTTATAAATAAGTATGCACATATTGGGAATGCATACTCAGAAATTTCTTACTGCAGGAGACCCTGTCCAAAATATGTGTGTGTGTGTGTGTGTGTGTGTGTGTGTGTGTGTGTGTGTGTGTGGAGACCATGGGTATAGTGGCTAGCTGCAGTCAGGAAAACAGTTAGTGGTGGCATTGTTTCCAACTCTTCCTGACCCCATTTAGGGTTTTCTTGGCAAAGACACTGGAGTGGTTTTCCATTTCCTTCTCTAGTGGATTAGGGCAAACAAAGGTTAAGTGACTATCAGGGCCTCAGAGTTAGTAATTGTCTGAGGTCAGATTTGAACTCAGATCTTCCTGCTCCAGACCCAGTGTTCTATCCACTAAGTTACCTAGCTACCTCAAGGAAAACTGTGTTTACATGCAAAAATTTAAGTTCAGAGATAATGGCATGACTCAACTTTTTATGAGTTTCAAACACTTAACCTAACTAAACCTTGGGCAACTCCCTAAAATATAAATAAATTATAGAGAATTTGCTATCAGGTTCTTTATATATGTAGAGGTATATTAAATCCATTATTATTATGCTATTTAGAAAGTGGCACAAAATTAATTTTTTCTTTCCTTTATTGAAACAATGAGGTTTTAAGTAGAAGAAAGTATTTGGATTTGGAATTCAAGCACCTGGGTTTGAATCCTGATTCTTCTACTTGCTTTTGGTGATATCCTGAACAAGGAACTTACCTCTCTGGTCTTGATATACTTTGGTAAAATAAGGAGGTAGAAAAAAATACTGTGTAAGGTCTCTTCCAACACTAAATCTTATGAACTCTTGTGTTCTTTCTTCCTTTCTACAGGCACAGCTGTCCAATTTGCTTAGGAGTGGTACACATCAAACACACACCAGCCTCCAATTCTTCAGGTCAGCTAACTCCTTCTATATGACTTTTCCCAATCTAAATGAAAGAGGACTGGGAGCATAGGGACTAAAACAGTGGTGTCAAACTCAAATAGAAAAGTAGGCCCACTAAATCTTACATAAGGATCCCTGCTAGCCTCATAATGACTTAGAAAACCACGTATTCACATTAACTATGTTCTATTATGTTTTTGCTTAATGAGAGAGACAGAATCTAGGAGAGAGCCTTGGGATGTAAGCGTATTAAAGTGGTGTGACATGAATGTCACAATCAGCAAAAGAGATTTATAGGGAATGAGGAAACAGGTAGAGGGAGAACCAAGAGAGAACAGTGTCACAAAAACCCAAATGAAGTAGAAAGTGTCAAATGCTACAGAGAGATAAAAGAAAAAAAAAGATGAGGATTGAGAAAAGGTCAATAAATTTGTCCATTAAGAGATGATTGGTAACTTTGGATGGATTAGTTTCAGCTAAGCAGTGAGGTCAAAAACCAAATTGCAAATGACCAATCCAGGGAACAAGAACTGGATCCTTAAGGTTTGAGAATGAAAAGTCATAGGTTACCTAAGCTGTTGTTCTGAATCCTGCTGGATCTTTCTAGCATCATTTTTAGCACTTTCAGCAGCATCCGTGTGAACCTCAAAAAGAAGATAAAACATGGATGCCAAATTAATTGGCAAATAATTCACTTCAAAGTGCACTGCCTTTTATTTGTATTTGGAACCTTTTTTTCCCATTGGTAGTACAAACCTTTTCTCACTCAGTACCTTTTGCAACTGAGAGCTTATGAATTTACAGCTGATCAGCAAAACAGAGAATATCATAAATGCCATCAGAGTTGTAATAATATCCTATTTCTTTTTCTTCTTTGTCCCACCTTCTTCCCCGTTATAGGGCAGAATGCTGCTTTCTGCTCAATTTCTGTTCCTACTGCTACTTCTAGGAACCTCAGGAACAGGCAGCTCCCACAAGCTCTACCAGACAGAGTCCATCTTCAGCTGTATTAATACAGCTTTATCTGGGGCTAAGAGTCAGCTAGGTGATGACTCCTCACTGAGCAAGAGGAGCTTTGGTTACATTCCCAGTGAGGAACTATCATCTGAGGAGGAAGCCAAAGAGGAGAAAGAAGAAGATGAAAAGGACAAGGAAAAAAGAACTTTATCTGGGGGTAATGGTGGGATTGGGGCAGGGATTGAGGGTACCAGGTATAAGTACCAGTCACAGGCACAACTAACAAGAAAGCTCTACCAGAACAAGGCCCAGAGTGATCGACACACTAAGTTCACCCTGTCCCTGGATGTCCCTACCAACATTATGAACATCCTCTTCAACATAGCCAAGGCCAAGAGCTTGAAGGCCAAAGCAGCTGCCAATGCTCACCTTATGGCACAAATTGGGCGAAGAAAATAAAGATGCTTCTAGAGGTAGTCTAGTAGAAGCTGTAGGGAGTGAGAGTCATGATATTTAGAGAGTCTGAGCATGTCTTTATGGTGAGGGGAGAAGAAGGGTTGGGTAATCTAATTGGTGTTTGTGGTTAGGACCTACCCCTGATTAATCTATGGCACTTATTCCCTCCTAGCTCTGCCTAGTGACTACCTTTTCTCTGTACATATAAACAAAATTGTGTTTTTTAAACTTTAAAAGTCCCAGTTGCTGATGGCTCTTACAACCTGCTATGTTCCCTTCCTCCATCCCTCTGACTTTAGGCAAAGTTAATGTTTCCCTTTTCTCTGAGCCTTTCCCATTTGAGCCCTTATCTATGAAGAGAACTGCCAAGGTTTGTCTCTTTCTTGCCCTTCCCTACACCTACATCCTTCTGACTTTTCACTGTCTTTCATCCAAATCCCCATTCCCCATACATTAAAATCAATATATCTTGAAATCATTCTGATTTATTTGAGTTCTTTTTTCTGCTGTGCTTCATTCCCAATGTCAAGAAAAATCAAGACTGATGGTTCTGGTCACTCATTAGTAGACTGACTTCCTACTCAATACCAAAAAGAAGATAATGTATATATATATATATATATGCTTTGGGGAAAGTTTGTGGTGTGTGGTGGTTGTGTATGTGTGGTGGTGAGGGAAATGTTGAGAGAGGCTAGGCTGGCTTTAGATTATATATGCTACTGACTTTTGTATTGAAGCCATTCCCAATATCAGAAACCACCCATGATAATAATCTAGATCAGTTTCTGAAAGGAGTTAAAGGGGAAGAGCCATTTGTGTGAAACACAAATTACAAAGAAAGAGAAAACATGGAAAGTGTGTTGTATTTGAAGTCAGAAGATCTGAGTTCAAATCCAAACTCTGATATTATCTCTGTGACCTTGGTCAAGTCACTTAAATTTTTCTGAGCCTCAATTTCCTAAATTGTAAAATGAGGGCTTTAGACAAGATTATTTCTAAGGTGTCTTCCAGCTGAATTTTTATTATTCTAGGACAGAGTCATGGGGCAATACTTTTAAAGCACCCTTTCTCCAATGTATAACTCAAATAAGACTCAAGAGAACAGCACAAAATCACAGAATTTGAGAGCTGGAAGAGACCTCAGTGGACATTTGGTCCACCTCATAGCTTTAAAGAATCCCTAGTACAATATACCCAACAAGTGACCATCCAATCTCTGCCAAAGGATCTCCAAGTAGGAGGAACCTTTCATATCTTGAGACAAGTCTTTTAACATAAAGATTCCTCTAATTGTTAGGCAAGTGTTCCTGACATCAGTTCTAAATTTCTTGGTTCTACCTTCTGGAGCCAAACAGAGCAATTCTAATCCCCCTTTCACACAACAACCTTTCAGATATTTGAACACAGCTATTGAGAGGCAGAATGGTAGATGGGAAAGAATTCCTACTCTGAAGTTAGAGGTCTTGGGTTCAAATCTTGCCTCTAATGCTTTTGTGAGTTTGGGCAAATCACATGGCTACCCATCTCATTAGTATGAAAATTTGCTTTCATCGTTAACAAATTATAAAATGATATATATACCAAAGAATTATTTTAAAATAAATTTCTTTATGATTTATTATCAGCAAATATTTGATTTGTATACCTATTTTGCATGCCTGTATAGCCGAGGTTATGTAAACATTTCTTGGGCAAAAAGGGGTCACAAGTGGAAAAAGTTTAAGAAGCCCTGCTCTATAGCATTAGAGAAGTTTGGAAGGAAGAAGGGTTTAGGGACAAAAATAATGAGTTTGAGGTGTCTGAAAGGACAGCAGAGAGGTTAGAACTGGACAAATAGATTTGAGAATCATCAGCATAGAAATATAATTAAATCCTTAGGAGTGATGAGTTCACCAAGTGAAGTAATATCGAGGGAGAAGAGATAAGGCTGCCTCAGTGGAAGGGATATTACAATGATGAAATATTTGCATGCTAAGAGGTGGGAAAGAAATTTGTTGTCTCAGAACTCTAATGTCTTCAAGGAGGAAGCAAATAAGACAGAAAGCCTAGGAGCAGTTTTGCCATATTTTGATCATCTTAAGAAAAAAAAAAGAGATAGAAAAAAATAATATATTAGGGTAGAAAGAGGGAAGAGGGGGATAGACCTTATTTATGCCATATAATTGGTTTGCATAAGATTATACAAAAGTAGAGGAAGGGGTGGGAGGAGTAATTTACACATGAAACTCACTTTCATCTGAACTGAATAAAGTGGAGTAGAATACCCCACCCACCCACACAAAGTTTGGTAAAGAAACTAAACTCATTAGAAATAAAGAAACATTAAAGGGGCAGCTAGGCGACCCAGTGGATAGAGCTCTGGCCTTGGGATCAGGAGGACCTCAGTTCAAATCTGGCCTTAGACACTTGATGCTTACTAGCTGTGTGACCCTGGTCAAGTCACTTAATCCTGATTGCCTCACCATTAAACTCAGGAAGGAATCAGGAGAAACAGAAGTGGGGTGAGAAGGGAATTAAGTGGGAAGACTGACTTATCAAAGGATTAATGAAAGAAAAACAAACTCTAGCTTTAGAGGGTGAATTGTGAAGAAGAGAATAGAAGAAAATAAAGAGAGGATAAGAGTCTGTATTCAGGTTCTGAGCAAGGGAAAGAGAAAAAGAGGAATAGAACACAAGCAGATTCTATCAAATATAGATATCTAGTGTTAAGCACACTCTTCCTCTCTCACCCTTATCTTTTTTGTAAAAAAAAAAAAGGAAAGGGGATAGAGAGTGAAAAAAATGGCATAGAGGTAAATACACAATAATTATTGTGAATGTGAATGGGATTGAACTCACCCATAAAATGGAGGATGGTAGCAGAATGTGATAGAAAGCAGAATTTAACACTGTGTTGTCTATAAGCAGCACACTTGAAACAGGAAGATCCTGTAACATACAGTGCACATACTAAACTGATTTACTATTATTTATTCTGATTAGTGAAATAATAGTCTGACTAGTACCAACAATGTACGCAATCAAATTTTATTAAACTATAATGTTTAATTATCTATTCAGAAATACAAACATCAGCCCCACTAAGAACAAATCACCAGCCTAGTTCCTGGGTATCCTAGCAATCATGTCCCTTACTGGTGCTCACTAGAACATTTCCTCTCAACCTAGCCAGAGATTATGTCTCTTTCCAGGAGACAAGTCTGGTAAGTCTCTGCTAATCAGCATTACCTTCAAGCAAACATTAGGTGCCAGATTATCAAATGCAAGGGAATGCTGGAATCTGTCCTACTCTCAATCTAAGGTATGGCTGATAACTGGGAACTCTGGCTGGCTCTTGTGATTCTCGGTGGACTACATAGCTATGCTCAAGTTCCAATTAATGGTCTATTATCTAATTATTTTTTTTACCACATAAATTGAATGGTATAAGTTATTGATAATGACATTTACTTCATTGGTCATTGGTCCTGAAGGTTCACATATGTGTTACCAGTTGTTTATGAACACACATATGTTGGTTTCCAAAATATACCTCATAAGTGTTATCTCATTGTTGAAAAAACAACTTAACCTAATCTAAATGATCTAATAGGAAAACAACTTACAAGTTACAAAATGGAGGCTTAAAACAAAATGGAGTTGGTTATACTAAGTTAACAAAACTTATTCTCACTACAGATCCACATAAAAAAAGGAGAATGAAGCAAAATCTACTATGTTTTTGGTGGACTCAAAAAAATAGGGACAGAAACCATGACTTCAAATGAGGCAAGTAAAAACAGACTTCATCAAAACAGCAGAAAATGAATTTAAATCAATATTTAACACATATGCACTAAATGGCATGGCATCTAAATTCTTAAAGGAAAAGTCAAAAGATAGTAAAACCATAATATCTGGGGGTCTCAATGTAACCGTCTCAGATCTAAACAAATCTAAACAAAAGATAACTGAAAAAGAAGTTTAAAATCTGAACGGAATTTTGGAAAAATTAGATATGGCCACAGACCATAGCTCTAGAATTAGAAAAGACCTTATATGCCATCTAGTCCAATGTCTGGCAGTTGCTGAATGGGAGCAGAAAGGTTTATAAATATTTCTTAATTGTACAAAGTACCTTTGCAAAAAATTATCCAGGTACTAGGGAATAAAAATTTCATAAGCAAATGCAGAAATGTTAAATACATCCTTCACTGAAAGAAAGCAATAAAATGATATTCAATAAAGGACCTTTAAGTAAAGGATTAAAAATTAATTGTAGGCTAAATAATTTCATCCTAAAGAATTGCTAAGTCAAAGAACAAACCATAGGAAAAACAGAATGTTTCATTTAAAAAAAAATAACAAGACAACTTATCAAAGGAGACTTCAATGCCTGCCATCCTCAATGTGGGGCATATAGGGATTCACTGTTTCAGTTGAAGAGAGAACAAAATTCCCTGGTTATACAGGTCTAATTCTGTTTTGGGTCGATAGAAGAAGGAGCCTGTCAATGGATAACAACTCTCACTGCAATCAAAGTCCAGTCCAGAAAGGAAAGCACTCCAAATGCAACTTTTCAGAACACTACACATTGATTTTACCTCAGCTTTGTCTCTAGAGTTCCAGTTCAGATTCTTCCTATTCCACTTTGTGCTTTATTCAAAATATATCAAACTACTATACATGAATTCAAACAAGAAATGACTGAAATTTCCCCAGCTGGTGGCTCTGATAATTATAATCTTATCTCTTATCCCTAAAATTATAAGGCAACAAATTTATGGCCAGCTAATAAGCATTAACCAACACATAGGATGGGGACAATGTTTTACCAATTTTTTTTTATTCTCCCATCTGTCCTGGTATTTTTGGTGCTTGATTAAGAGTATTAAAATGAATTGAAATGATAGTTGGATAGATCCTACTGGCAGACCCTACTTCCAGGGGCTTTTGAAACTCCATAGATTCAAGACTGACCTTTAGAAAGAGGGAATTCTGCCAGTACAGCAATGTTTGCATAGGTTTGGCAGTAACAGATCTGTTTACCCTCTAGAAATACTTTGATCAGCAAAGTGCTGGAGATAATGTCTCCTTTTAGGGATCAGTAAGCAGTGAGAGCACACCATTATACTAATTATTACTGAACATATTGACACAGAAACATTTAGATTTAAAAGACAGTTGGCCTAAGGAGCTTCTTCTGCATCTCCATCTTTACTATCATTGGAGAAATAAATGGTGGACTTCAATCTTTATGACTTTATTAGGAGCCTAGAATATTCCACTAAATTGGTCTCCAATATCCTAAAATGTGAGAGTACCTTTACTAACGCCTCTCCTTTAACAATCCACGTAAAAGCAACTTGACTCCCACTTCTACAAAATTGCTGACAATAATAACAAACAATGATATGTCAACTCAAGTCAATAAATATTTATTAGATGACTAGTCTATTTCAGATACTGTGCTAAGCAATGGGAACATATAAAGAAAGGCAAAATGGTTTCAATCTTCAAAGAATTTACAGTCTAATGGGAAAGACAACATTTAACAGGATAAATTGAAGATAATCTCAGGAAGATTAAGGAAAATTGGGAAAGACTTCTTACAGAAAGTGGAATTTTAGATGAGACTTGAAGTCAGGGGACCTAGGATGTGGAGGTAAAGAGGGAAGGAATCCCAGGTATGGGTGAAAATAAGGGAAATGTGTGGAGTAAGGAGATGGGTTATCTTATCTGAGGAATAACAAGAAAGCCAAAGTCACTGGATCATAGATTACATGGAGGAGAGTAAGTTGTAAGAAGACTGGAAAGGTAGAAAGGACCATATAACAGAAGACATACGTTTGGCTTTAAAAGCCAAACAGAAGACTTCATATTTAATCTGGGAGGCAATGGGGAGCAACAAGAGTTTGTTGGCAATCATGTTTACTTACCTAGGACCTTTAGGAACATGATTTTGATAGATGAGTAGAAGAGGTACTGGTCTGGGGAGCTCCTTGATTCTGGAAGACCACCCAGAAGAATATTTTAATAGTCCAGGAATGAGGCAATGAGGGCCTATATGAGGGTGGTGACAATCTTGGAGAAGAGAAGGGAATACATACAAGAGATGTTTCAAAGGTAGAACTGACAGAACTTAGCAAAAGATCAAATGTAAGAGGAGAGAGAGAGATGACACCTGGGTTGTGAGCCTTGAGTGACAGAGAAAATGGTGAATATGGGTTCAGGGTGAAATGCATAATAAATATAATTTAGAAATAGGAGCAGCAACTGAGTCTGTGGTAGAGCTGTAGAGTGTGTTCAGGGAAGACTAGTACCTCTGGTATAAGGGCTGCTGAGCTGCTTTCCACTTTTGGTGTATACCTGATCTACGTAACTCTCACCTATGACTCCAAAAAGCTGTAGCATGCACAGTGGCCACACCCCAGTAAACCATTTTGGTAGACAGGTTAAACCAGGTCAAGGGTAACTGGGGGATTTCAAACCTGTAATGAGTTAGGGGGGTGCAATAGTAGGCACAAACTACCACACATGGCAGGGAATCATTGGGAGGAATGGAGTCAGAAACAGCAACAGCAATGGTCTCTTGCTACTTAAGACTTGTGCATCTCATGACCTTCTCATCACTAACAACATCTTCTGTTTACCTATATGCAATAAAACTTCATGGATGCACTCTCAAAACAAATGGCATTTAATAGACTATGTTATTGTAAAGATAAGAGACAGACAGGATATTAGAGTGACAAAAGTGATGTGTGGTACAGAGTGCTGCACTCATCATAGACTTCTCTTCTCCAAGCTAAACAATCACACTCAACAAAAGTGGGGGCCCAAGGCAAGATGACTACCAGAATCAAGAGATTAGAGTGTTTCTCCATGGTGAATAGTTTGCTCTTAACTTGGAGGGAAAGCTGAGCCAACACACGGTTGGCAACAGTGGAGATGAAAAGGAATGGTCAGCTTTCAGAGATTTGTTGTACAACATTGCATTTACTTATCTGGGCCAGAATACTGGCAAACATCAAGACTGGTTTAATGAAAATGATGGGGAAATTCCGAAAGTGCTAAATGAAAAATGAGAACTCCACATGGTTTACCAGCAGGGTGGTTCATCCACCTCTAAGAAGGCAGCATTTAAGTCCATCAAAAATAAAGTTCAGGGGTAGCTAGGTGGCACAGTGAATAGAGCTTCAGCTTGTAGTCAGGAGGACCTGAATTCAAATCTGGCCTCAAACCAAACACTTGACACTTACTGGCTGTGTGACCCTGGGCAAGTCACTTAACCCCAACTGCTTAAAAATAAAAGTAAAGTACAAGTGAAGCTTAGAGAGAGATGCAGGATTCTTGGCTCAGTAAGAAGGCAGATGAAATTCGGTTTTATGCTGATAGCAACAATCTAAATTGTTTTTATGATGTCCTGGAAGCTATTTATGGACCAAAGACCTGTGGTGCATCTCAACTACACAGTGCTGATGGAGCCACATTGATTAGTGATAAGGACATGATCCTAGAGAGACGGGCTGAACACTTCCATAGTGTTCTCAACAGACTTTCATCAATCAATGTTGAAGCAAGCCATCGAGCATTTAGCTCAGGTTGCAGTCAATCCCTCGCTAGCTGAAGTTCCAACTGAAGAAGAGGTTTTGAATGCCATTGGGCTCCTTTTGCATGGCAAAGCACCTGGTGTTGGTTCTATTCCAGCTGAGATTTACAAGGTGAGGGTTCCATAGCTCATACAAAAGCTGACTGAAATTTTCCAGGTTACATTGTTGCAGCTTCATGACGTGTTGTGGCAGAACCACCTCAAAGAATTCAGAGTCAGACCACCTCTAATCTAAGTATAGGCATTTATTGAGATTGATACCTCTCGTGAAGTGGGCTAAGTTCGAAGAGGAACCAGCAACTTCAGTAAAAGAAAGACAGATTTTTATGGGGTAAAGATGCAATTACATAACAAAAATTGTGGTTTGTTAAAGGATTAGGTAATAGGGAAGAGGTCCCAGCCTGAGTGGAATTGTGCCTGTGATTTCCCACAATGCAAACAGAAAAACCCAGTTGGGAGGATATGTATGTATGATAATGATAATATAATGAGCCACTCTACATCATAAGTTCACCTAAAGGACAGCTTTTGCTATTACTGCACAGGTGCCTACTTAGGGAAAGTCCCTTCTATTGTTTTGGGGTCCACATCCTGCTTGGGCATCCTGGTGGTGCTGCTTTCTAATTGGCTGAGTATTGTGGTCCTGTCTGAGACTGGATGGATGTGGTTGTGGTTGAGTGCATGGATATACTTGCTGTTTCTGTGGGAAATATGAGGAATGGTTCTGGGAGCAGTGGCTAAGTAGAGGCAGTGGTTCCCATCACATGGACATGCCTGCTATTTTTGTAAGAAATATGAGTTCATGGACACACCTGTTGTTCTAGTGAGCAGATAAGCATATATGAGGAAGTTAGGCTATTTATTGGGGGGGGGGGCAGTGGCTAAGCAGGAGCAGTGGACTTGCTGTTCAGTGATTAACTCTAACAAGGAAGTTAGAATATTGGGGCTGGGGGCAGCTTTATTAGTATACCATCATTCCCTTCTCAAAAAGCTGGGGCCCAAATTCATTTGAGAAAAGGGATGAAGGTCTCTGCTTCTGTAGCTTCTTCAGGCTGGCAAGGGTGTAGAGCTGTTCCTGCCTCAATGGGTCCTGAGGAGGAGGTTGACTGGAATTGAGCATAGGTCACATCCAAGGGATGATGGGTGAGTATGGGCTGGTATCCATTGTTTTCTGCCAACTGTAGGTGAATTGGCCTGTAGTCTAGGAGACACAAATCTGACAAGCAAGTTCAAGATGCAGGGCCCCAGATATAAGGAGAAAGAAACCAAGAGCCCCAATGATGCTATTATTTACTTTCCATATACAGGATTTTCTGATTTTGTTACTTTCTCAAAAGTTTCTGCTCCAATTCCAGTTTCTTTAGGAGGATCAGATGCTATTGAGGAACCAATCCTATACATGTAAATATTAGTAACAACACTTTTGCAGGTAGAAGCTTTCCACTCCTGGGTTCAATAGTTATACAAATGAATTTGCTTATAGGAGGTTAACTTTACTCCAATTATAATAAAAAAAAAACTTGTGAGGATACTTTAAATAATTAATTCCAAAACAGTACATATACTTTCTTTAAGAAAATTGGTTGCAGGGCAGCTAGGTGTCATGGTGGATAAAGCTTCAGCCTTGGAGTCAGGAGGATCTGAGTTCAAATCCAGCCTCAGACACTTGACACTTACTAGCTGTGTGACCCTGGGCAAGTCACTTAACCCCGATTACCTCACCAAAAAGCCAAAAAAAAATTGGTTGCACTGAAATTCTTTTCCCCAAACCAAACTGAAGATGTTTCTGATTTAGTTTCAGTAGTTAATAGAATAACAGCTAGGTCCCTCAATCAGTTGTACCAATACCCAATTATTCTTACAGCCATTTTGAAACATTTAAAAACCTTATTTCATACAGATGTATTTAGTAACAGGCAGTTAACTAAGCCAAGTACCCGTGTGCTAAATTGTTTAGGCTATAGGAAGGAATACAATTTTAGGCTGAATAGCTCAGATCTAACACACATTTTGTTATAGTAGCTCAGAGGTATCCAAGCCTTATTCTATGGGATAATGATTAACATTGTGTTTTACCTTTGTTTCACAAACTTTGTTTCCCTTTGTCTAATTATTACCATATCATTCAGAAAGAATGTTCTATTCCAGGGATTTAATCTTTCACTTGACTATGCAGGCAGGCAGATGATAAGCCTGAGTACTAATTTACCCAGTTATTTGGGATATGGAACGACTACATATTCAGATTGAAAACAGCAAGATTTCATATACTTGCATTGTACTCATATCTTTCACTGACTACTTTCTCTGATTATAGAAGTTTGCTTTACAAAGAAAAAGCAGGAACCTGCCAGATATGACAGGGTTCTTTGCTCTGTTTGAATTCAGATAAGAGTCACTTTAATTCCATCTCATAGCCAGACTCAGGAATAGTCAGGTGGGAAACATTCCTTTTCAAAGGAAGACAATAGGGAAACTGAGGCAGAAGGGTCCCATCTTAGATCAAGGTTAAAATTGTCCTCTTGCGTTTTCCCAGAAGCAAGCCTCCACCTGTAGTAAGATCACATTCCCTCTGAGTAGCTTGTGGCATTTCTCTCAGATTCTGATTACTATTTCTAAATTCAAATTCAGAATAAAATCAGTGTAGTCCCAAGGGCTTTTACTTCAAATGGCAAGTCTCTACAATCACAGCTTAGGTCTAGATACAATTATTTTTACTTTTATGGAGTTGCAATAAGCAATAAAAATTTACCATGATTTACATACATAAGAGGCTTTCACTCAACATGTTTCACCTGTTTTTCTTTTCTTCTTCAAGTTTAAATTTATCCTGGTGTAAAGACAAAAATCATTAAGAATCATTTCTATATTGTACAAAAACTTGCAGATTCTCAGTAAGCCAAGTTCATTGTTTAGGAGCTCCAAAACCCAAACAAGCTTTTCTTTTCCTGGGGCTGATGACCTTGCCCACCAGATGGTTTCCAGGAATCAGGCAAGTTTATAAATAAGGGGAATCAATTTAATTTGTTTTGCCCTGACTGATTTTTCTTTTCCCTTGCCAGGATGTCTTTTGGGTTTCCCATATTTTATTTTTATGATCCCAGTATATGGTAGCTGGCACATGTGGCCTCCAATCACCCTCTACAGCCCTACATTGGAGGCAACCTTGGCTGTCTTCTTAAGGAAGGGGAGTAGGGAGTGTCTACTCTGTCTACCCTTAAAGCTGCTGTGGGATCAATTTTAGGTTTTAACATTACAACAATGATCCCAAATAACTTAATCCACAGTCTTACAATTTTCATAAGTGAGAACCAAATTGTTTTAGCTGTAAGACAGGGTTAGCAAGGCTTAATAAAATGATATAAATTGTTTTAAACAATTTTTTCCACTGCCTTTTAGTTTCAACAAAATTCAGATTAAAAATTGCTTTGTCCAACACCATTTCTGGCTCACAATGGTCATTCAAATTTTACAATATAAGAGAGTTTTACTACAATTTAGAAATACAATAATAGCACAAACAGTAAACTTCAGATGACATTAATTGCATTTCCAAATCATCACACATAAAAATTATGGATAGAAGGTTACCAGGTGCAGAGGCTGGTTGGTTTCTTACCTCATACTGCCCTGGCCCATCCCCTTTTCCCCTCTTCCCACAGCTGCAGAGCCTGATTGTGGAGGTGGTTGAGTCTGGGATTTGGGAAGGAAGGAGAAAGGCTCTTTGTGTGGGAAGGACTAAGGACCAGGGAGTGCTGGGAGGTTGTAGAGTCTAGCACCAGAATTAAAGATCCAAGGGGGCTATTGAGAAATGGGATTTGGTGGATGAGGAGGGTCCTCGAGGAACCTACAAGCTTTCTGATAGGAGTTTCTCAGCTTTGGGGAACTTGGACCAGAAGCTTCAGGTTCCAGTGGTATAGAAGCAAAGATTTGGGGATTTGAGGGGAGAAGTTCATCTGCTTGCCTAGAGGAGTGGGCTTCAGGGTGCCCAAGGATTCAAATAAACTTCACTTCTGTGTCCACTCCTTAAAAACTTCTGCCAAAGTAGGAGCTTTCAACCTGCCAGTCAAAATGAATGGGACTGTGGACAAAATCCAGGGGCTCCCAGTACCCTTTCCCCCATAATGGAGAGCTCAAAGCTTCATCTCTGAGGTGTCGCTTTTTCAGCTATGCATTTTCCCAATTTATCTTAATGCCAAATAGTATAACAAATTCTGACTTTTCTTAAACATCAAATTAGGAGAGACAGCATTTCACTCAAACTATAATCAGATTCAACTACTTTTGGTTGTATCCTGACTCACACAAACCTTTTCTCTTTCTGTGACCCAGGAAAGGGTTAAGTGTTAGTCCTATTCCAAAGTGCAGCCTTGAAAGCTGCCTCACTTTTATCAGTGAAGTTACCCTTTTTCTCTTAGATAGATCTGAGAGGAGAAGTTTCCCTTCTTTTTTTGTCTGTCCCCCCACCTCCAGAACTTGGCCACAGTCCAAGGAAGGAGAGAGAGAGAGAAAGAGAGAGAGAGAGAGAAGAGAGAGAGAGAGAGAAGAGAGAGAGAGAGAGAGAGAAAAGAGAGAGAGAGAGAGAGAGAGAGAGAGAGAGAGAGAGAGAGAGAGTTAGGTTTTTTTTGGTTGGTTGGTTTGTTTGTTTTTGCCAAGAACCTTTCTTTAAGAGACCATCAATCTTTCCAGCCCAGGTATAGTTTTTTCTTTTCTGGGTGGCTGTGTTTTAAATCTTAGAAGGTGGCAGATTTAGAGATTTTTACATAGATGCAGAGCAAATAAATACAAACAGATCTTAGTAGTCCCATGGGATGGGAGCTGGGACTGAATGCCAGTAAGCCTAAGGAAATCCTCCCTATAGCCACATTCATCTCTTCAGTAGCATCCCACTGAAGGATGAAGAAGAAAAGGACAATCCATAGAAGAAAGGTGTGCTATGAGCTCAGCAATTGTGTGGATCCTTTCAACAACCTTTAGGCGTGTTACTGCCAGGCAGCAGAATGTTTAGAAAGTCTTGAGCAAAGTCTTGAGTCTGCAGTTTCTGCTCAAGGTTGCCCTTGAGCTGGTCAAGACTGGTCCCATGGTTTCTGGCAGCTACAAGCATCTCCAAATTTGGCTAGAGTTCACCTGCAAAGGATTATTGATATGTCAAGCAGTTCTGAGATTCAGAAATCTCTCTGATTGCCTATTTGTTGTGTATTCTCATCATTTTGCTCTCCTGCAAAGAAGGGAATCTCCAACACATCTAACAAATTATTATAATCATTACAGAGCCCTATCCACATGGGGTATCTTTCTCATTGTACTTATAATGTTTCTTTGTGTATTTCACTTATTTTTGTGTTTTATACAAAGCTAGGTGGCACAATGAATGAAATGCTGGGCTTGGAGTCAGGAAAACCTGAATTTGAATCCAGCCTCAGATACTTGCTAGCTGTGTGACACTGGGAAAATCACTTATTTGCCTAAGTTTTCTAATCTGCAAAATGGGGATAATAACAGCATTTACCTCCAAGGGTTGTTATGAGGATCAGACTGCAGCACCTTCAAAGACCTTAGCACAGTGGTTTTCACATAGTAAATGCTATATAAATCTTAGTTATTCAGCACCTATATAGCATGGAAGTATATGAGAGAAGGAATTATATCTAAGTTCCTTCTTAGGAAGGAACCTTAATCTAAGGCTTATTGTCTTTCTCAGCACTTAGTACAGTGCAATAAGCATTTAAAAAATATTTACTGGGGGCAGAGTGAAGATGACAAAAAAAAAAGGCAGGGACTCATCTGAGCTCTCCCCAATTCCCTTCCAAACAACTTTAAATAAAACCTCAAGATGAATTCTGGAGTGGCAAAACCAACAAAAGGACAGAGGGAAACAATTTTTTAGCCCAAGGCAACTTAGAAGGTTGGCAGGAAAGGTCTGTCTCACTGAGGTAAAAGTGGAGCTCAGTCCAGCACCGGCCTGTGCAAGCTAGGCCCCAACAAACCAGCAGTAGGCCTTGGGAATGACTGAATCAGTGCTGGCAGCAGCAGTTCCAGGAGCTCTCAGTCCATAGATGGTAAGGGGGTCAGACAACTGGTCAGAAGGAGATTACAGGGGCAGCTAGGTGGTGCAGTGAATAGAGCTCTGGCTTTGGAGTCAGGAGGGCCTAAGTTCAAATCTGGCCTCAGCATTTAACACTTACTATCTATGTGACCCTAGGCAAGTCACTTAACCCTGATTGCCTCACCAAAAAAAAGAAGAAGAAGAAGAAGGAGATTACAGGGGTCCCTTTGCTGGCAATGGTTGCAGGACTCTGTTGCATTGCCCATGTGTGGATCAGGGTTGCAGTCCTAAGTCGCAGTCCTGGGGTGAGGAGAAGCACTAGTACACTAGAGCTTGTAGCTGCTGGGGAGCTGGGACCCTGGTCACAGCTTCAGGGTAGAAAAGCATGCTTGTGGAAAAAAAAAGAGTGCTTGTGGTCACTCACAGACCAGAGAGCATAGGCCTGAAGAGCAATGGCCACACCTCTCCCTAGATCATAACATCTTGGAAGAATTAAAAACTTACAGACACCCAGAACTAGCTCTGAGAGCATCAGCAAGAAAGGACTGAAGCTTGGGACAGTGCCCCTTCCATCCCAGAAGCAGAGGTCTTCTTTAACATAGAGTTAAAAATCAAGAAATAAGCTGGAAAAACAAGCAAACATAAAAAAAAAAGAACCTGACCATAAAAAATTATGATGGTGACAGAGAAGATCAAAATACAAAATCAGAAGACAATAAAGTCAAAACTGCTATAGTCAAAGTCTTAAAGAAAAATGTGAATTGATCTCAGGCCCAAACAGAATTCCCGGAATAGCTCAAAAAGCATTTTTAAAATCAAATAAGAGAGATAGAAGAAAAATTGGGAAAAGAAATGAGTGACTCAAGAAAATCATGGAAAAAAGAGTCAATAGCTTGGTAAAGGATGTACAAAAAATACTGGAGAAAATAACACCTTAAAAACAGAATGGGTCAAACGATAAAAAAAAAAAGGTACAAAAATCCACTGAAAAGAATTCCTTAAAAAATAGTGTTATCCAAATGGAAAAAGAGGTACAAAAGCTTGCTGAAGAAAACCATTCCTTAAAAGTTAGAATTGGGCAAGTGGAAGTTAATGATGCCATGAAACAGCAAGAAACAATAAAATAAAACTAAAAGAATGAAAAAAAAATAGAAGAAAATGTGAAATTTCCTTGGAAAGACAACTGACCTAGAAAATAGATCCAGGAGAGATAATTTAAGAATTATTGGACTACCTGAAAGCCAAGATCAAAAAAAGAGCCTAGACATCATCTTTCAAAAAATTATCAAGGAAAACTGCCCTGATATTCTAGAACCAGAGGGTAAAATAGAAATTGAAAAAAATCTACTAATCACTTCCTGAACAAGATCCCAAAATGAAAAGTCCCAGTAATATTATAGCCAAATTCTAGAGCTCTCAGATCAAGAAGAAAATACTTCAAGCAGCCAGAAAAAAAAAATTCAAATATTGTAAAGCCCTGGGGGATCACACAAGATTTAACAGCTTCTACATTAAAGGATCAAAGGGCTTGGAATATGTTTTTCCAGAAGGCAAAACAGTAGGATTACAACCAAGAATCATCTACCCAGCAAAACTGAGTATAATCCTTCAGGGGGAAAAATGGATATTTGATGAAATAGGGGAGTTTCTAGCATTCCTGATGAAAAGAGCAGAGCTAAATACAAATTTTGACTTTCAAATACAAGACTCAAGAGAAGCATAAAAAGGTAAACAAGAAAGAGAAATCATAAATGACGTATTAAATTTCAACTATTTCTATTCCTACGTAGAAAGATATTTGTAACACATGAGACCTTTCTCAGTATTAGGGTAGTTGGAGGGGAATATATATATATATATATAGACAGAGGGCATAGGGCGAGTTGAATATGAAGACATGATATAAAAAAATAAAATTAAGGAGTGAGAGAAGATTGTACTAGGAGAAGGAGAAAGGGAGAGGTAGAATAGAGTAAATTATCTCACATAAAAGAGGCAAGAAAAAGCTTTTATAGTAGAGGGGAAGAGGGGGGAGGTGAGAGGGAATGTGTAAATCTTACTCTCATTAGATTTGGCTTAAGGAAGAAATAACATACACACTCAATTGGGTATAGAAATCTATCTGACCTACAGGAAAATAGGGGGGAAGGAGATAAGAAGGGGGATCATAGAAGGGAGGGCAGATTGGGGGAGGGAGTAATCAGAAGCGAATACTTTTCAGTAGGGACAGGGTCAAAGGAAAGAATAGAAAAAATGGGGGTGCAGGATAGGATGGAGGGAAATATAGTTAGTCTTTCACAACATGACCTTTATGGAAGTGTTTTGCATGACTACACATTTATAACCTATATCCAATTGCTTGCCTTCTCAATGAGGTGGGTAGGGAGGGAGGAAGGGAGAGAATTTGGAACTCAAAGTTTTAAAAATGAATGTTAAAAAATTGTTTTTACATGCAATAGGGAAATAGGATATAGAGGCAAAGGGGTACAGAAATCTATCCTGCCCTATAGGAAAATAGAAGAGGAAGGAGATAAGAGAAGGGGGAGCGGTGATAGAAGGGAAGGCATACTATCTTGGGGTGAGGAGAGGGGAGAGACAGGGAAAAAATTTGAAACTCAAAGTCTTGTGGAAGTGGATGTTGATAACTAAAAA